TTGAATCACTTAAATTGTAGGCTTCTTATAAATGATAACACCACATTTAATTATGCGGTCCCATTGAGACATTATCTAACAATATGCTCATACTGAGGCTGAGGCCTCTCTCTCTCTCTCTCTCTCTCTTCTTATCATTCTCTGTCACTTCGTATCTTCTAAACCCAAGAATTATGATGAGGTGAGGGTTCCTATATTTACATGCAAACAAACATGTGGCATTATGTTGTCACCGAGAATTTGATTCAGATTTATTTATTTATTTATTTATTTGTGTATTTGTATGGGTTTCTCAAAATTGATACACTAAGATTTTTAACTAAGGTATTTAGTAAGAATAATTATAATGTTAAATCCTAATTAAAATAATTTATAAACAATAAATATTAAACACCCACAAAATTATTATTTTTAATAATGTCTTTGTTAGTGATTTAATTAGATTAATTTAAAACTAACTTATACACTAATATATTTCAGACAAACTCTAGATAAAATTTCACATGAAATCTTACAATAACATGTATTGGGAGACCTTCAACCAGATAGGCGACTGTTCTACCAACCTATCTATTGCATAGTACAATCGAGGTCTGCCAGTGGGTCATAAGTTGAGGGATTTAATGACAATGACACCGCCCCCTTACTAGGGAAGCCCAGATGGAGAGAGTGCACCAACACATTCGGGTAGAGGAAGATAGGGGGCGCGCCAAGCAGAGTCTGGCACAACAGCGATGCTAGACAAAAAGCCTTTAGCGAAAGTTAACATAGTTGACAAGAAGGACCGACCGCACAAAAATCTTTGCCCAACTGGGGGCAAAATGGGTTGACAGGTTTGACCAACTCTTTCTAACAAATCTTTGCCCAATAGGGGGAAAAGTGGGTTAGCAGGTTTGACCAATTTTTTCTAACAAATTTTTGCATTGCTTGGGGCAAAGAAGGTTGGCAGATTTGACCAACAAATTTTTGCACTATTTGACCAATATGGTTACCTCGGTCAAAGAAGGTTGGCTGGTTTAACCAACAAATTTTTGCACTCTTTGACCGAGATGATTACCTCGGCTAAAGAAGGTTGGCAAGTTTGACCAACAACTTTTTGCATTCTTTGACTGAGATGGTTACCTCGGCCAAAGAAGGTTGGCAGGTTTGACCAATAACTTTTTGCACTCTTTGACTGAGATGGTTAACTCGGCCAAAGCAAGTTAATAGGTTTGACAAACAATTTTTTACACTCTTTGACCGAGATGGTTATCTTGGCCAAAGTAGGTTAGTAGGTTTGACAAACAACTTTTTGTACTCTTTGGCCGAGATGGTTATCTTGACCAAAGCAGGTTGGCAGGTTTGACCAACACTTTTTTGAACTATTGGACTGAGATGGTTATCTAGGCCAAAGAAGGTTCGCAGTTTTGACCAACAATTTTTTGAACTATTTGCCCAAGACGACAGTTATCTCGACTAAAGCAGGTTGGCCGGTTTGACTAACAATTTTTTGAACTCTTTGCCCGAGATGACAATTATCTCGGCCAAGGAAGGTTGGCAGGTTTGACCAACTTTTTTGAAACTGTTTGACCGAGATGGTTATATTGGCCAAGACTAGTTGGCAGGTTTGACCGACACTTTTCTGAACTCTTGGGCTCGGCCAAAGAAGGTTGGCAGGGTTAGTGTAAACAAGTTAGTTTGCTCGGCGAGACACAAAACGAACGCCTCATCGTACGATTGCGAACTTAAAGGTATTGGATTGTACTTCAATGGGAGGAAGAAATGGAGCATTGGGTTTAGGGTTTGTGAACGAAGAGGGTGAACAATGGCTAAAACCGTTCGAGTGTACATGATATATATGTTGAAGGCAAAAAAGCGGGGCTGTTCGAATTTTTATACAATGGTACGGGGCCGGTAGTGGCATGCCACGTGTCCCATGATTAAAGTGGTGTCATAGTGACAGATGAACGTACTGGGTAACTGATAAGACTCGTTAGAACCAAGCAGGTTGCAAATGGAACTGATAAGACTCGGTTAACTTAAACGACAATATCTCGGCTGAAAGATAATAATCTCAATCATGCATTGCAAATAGAATTAAGGAGCAATTGAGAGGGTAATTTATTTGGATAAATTAGGCTGAGCTAAGTCTATCATTCTTAGATGTTGGGCTACTCTATGGGCTAAGGTGAGAGCTTGGATAGCCCGGTCACGTTACAAAAGGTTGTTAGGCCGATCAATGGGCCTTGAGATGGTTGTGTGCACCATTGGTGGACGGACCGGAATGGTGTACTGCAGAAGGCCAAGTTAGGGTCATCTCAACAAGGTGACTTATGGTGGTCAGTGCTTCCATGGCCCGGTTCTAGTAGTTGCACTAGATAACTTGACTAGGCATAGTGAACCAAGTAGGGTGATTAACCATCTCACTTGGTTGGCAGTGAGTAGGGTGTTATCAGGATAGGCATTATCCTATGGGAAAGTGATTTCTAAGAGAACTCTGTTAAGGAGAGTTAGAGTCCTAATAGGATTGTGCTTGGCGGAATCTATAAAAGCTCAAACCAGAACCTATAGACAGGTATTGTAATTCTTACTCAAAAATACATAGAGCTTGTTGTCTATTGTCTACTTGTTAACTTAGGCATCAGAGGGGTTTCTAGCACACACTCACCGGCTAGCTCACGTGTGTTTTCAGATAGCAAAGCGATGACGTTTAGAAGAATGCAAACTTAGTCAACAGGATTATACAAAAAGATTATTTTATACTCGTACACTTACTTACTACTACTACTATTATTATTACTTGTGATTTGGATTTTTTTGGGATAAGTAAGCATTTATTACCAAAAGAATAAAAAAAATAAATTAACCAAGGAGTACAATAAAAATGTCATTAGATTTAAATTTTATGAGATGGTCATATAAGGATTGAAATTCAAAGAGATGGTCAGATATTGTTTTGGTATTGTCATTCTTTACTTTACACTGTTCCTAACCAAATTTTCACCTCCTTTTGTACAACAGTGAAAGCTCTTGAAACAATATCAGCAAGACTGCAGATCAAACATTTCACTGTTAACCAAAGTTTCTGCAGTAGCGGCAGATTTCAAATAAATGGCACTGACGGGACTGTGATCGACGTCATTTGCAATTGCAGTGCCACTGTTTGCCATGTCACAAACATGCATGAGCTAGTTTTTTTATCGAACTTTACCCATAGTAGACTTGTACTATATGCATGGCCATGCAAATAGAGAATGAGAAAATGATATAGCATTTGTTTCTAGAAAATAGCGAAGAATTTGCGGTATCAAATGCACAAAATTAATATTTTTTACTTCTATAGACTAGTACCAATATATGTGCTACCTGCAATGTAAGGAAATTAGAAATGCAGAAGATATAATGAAGGCGCAGCTGACATTGAAATAACTTGTGCCAAAGCCATATTTTTTAGATTGAGCTATGCAGATTTTTTTCGTGCATTCAATTATCTAACTTGCTTTAAAGTAAAATTTGGTTTGTTTCTGTTAAGAGATCTTTTCCTATAATATAACCAGGGCTGCGAAGTACTTGTACTTTAATAGTGAAGAATGTTAAGCCTCATTATTGTTGATGATTGACAAATAAATAATGAAACGAATTTCAGATTTACCTATAGTGTAGAGTTGTAAATATCAAAAGTTGGCTGGTGGGTGCAAATTGTGCTATCCAAGCTTCTAATATCTTAGAATAGTTTTCATATTTCTATTGGATAGAAACCTGTTATTGCTGACACATGGTTGCAGCAAATAGCTGCCACCAGTTTGTCTTTCTTGCTGCAGCCCTCTTTTGAGAAACCCATTCCTTAATAGCCAAACTTTTTTTGAAGAGGTAAGTTGGCCTGATCAAAAATGAATTTTTTAGGTTTTAGTTTCTATTATCAAGGCATTGCACTTGCAATATAGTCTTTATTAGAAGCTGAAAGCTTGGTTGTGAATGCAGTAGGTTATACAACACTTGACACGTAGATGTAGATGTCATAAAATTCAAGATGTAGATGAGCTTGGTAGTTCAAATGTGTTGGGGGAACAAAGTAAGGGTAGAAATTGTCGGAAGGAAGAAGATGATGGTGTTGATATGAAGAATGACTCAGTTGCTGACCTGGAGGTTGGTTATGGGGTAGACCAAGAAAACAGGCCAAGTGGTCGTAGTGGGAGCATGGAGGTGGAAAACGTGGCATGCTGGAGGCGTGTAGAGGAAGCTCAAAATGCTCGAAGTGATGGGGGGCAAGTAATGAGTGATGAGCCCTGCAAAGAAATGATAGAAGTGCGAAACCAGAGGATCAGCTCGAAGGAGGAAACGGTTGTCAATCAGAGTTTGGAAATTCAAGTGTGTATGCTGGGTTTTGTTAGAAGTCTTGAAGGGTTAAGTATTGAAAGGCCTGGTGTGAATATAGAAGTGGTTTTGGGCCAGAATAAAATATTAAAGCAAGTGGGTGGGTTTTGTCAAACAGAAACTGGGCTGGGGCAGCATGAGGTAATTGAAAGAATTAAATCTGTTGAAGTAGGGCCTTGTGGGAGATTGTCAAGCCTCTCTGAAGCCCAAGAGAAGGACCCTAGTAATAGACATTTAAGACTTAGGAAGGGGAAGGAAAAAGAAAAGAGTAGCAACAAGAGAAAATCTAATCAGAACATGCTAAGGAGAAGACCCTTCGAGATGATGAGGAAGTATGGAAGCAGAGGTGCTTCATCTAGTAGAGCCGTGCCTAAGGCTGCAGCCTGGCATGCCGCAGTGGTGGCAATGTCCCTATCTGCTTCAATAGAGAGTGGAGTTGATAAAGGGAGGTTTGTTCTTAATGAAGCTGAAGCAACTGTAAAAATGGGAGAAGTTCTTGGTATGCAGTTTAATGGCAAGAGAGCTGAAGTGGTAAAGGAAGTAGTGGATCTCGAATTGAAGGATATAGAGCGTATTGAAGGGGGAAAGAAAGTTGGGGAATAATATACACCAGCAGGGAGGACACATGGGTGCAAACATGGTCAATTATGAAGTTTCTTTCATGGAATGTCAGAGGGTTGGGGAGGAAGGAGAAGAGAGACAAAGTAAAAAAGCTCTTAAAGGAGAGGACTGTAGACATTGCACTATTCCAAGAGTCAAAAAAGTCAGAAATTTCAGAGGAAGATGTAAGATCTGTATGGGTTAGGGCCAAAATAGAGTTTATGGTGGTGGATGCTGTAGGCTCGGCAGGAGGCTTACTGTGTATATGGGACCCAGATGTATTCCAAGTGAAGGACTGTTGCAGTAATAGAAGATTCATTTTATTATCAAGTACTATATTTCATCAGTTCAATTGTGCTATTCTAAACATTTATGCACCTAATAATGTGGGCTTTCGAGGGAAGCTGTGGAATTGTCTATTGAAGTTGAAGGAGGAATTTCCTAATCCCTGGTGTTTAAGAGGAGATTTCAATGAGATTAGACAGATTGGGGAAATGAGAGGGTATTCTAGGAGAGATAAAGACATGGTAGAATTTAATGAGTTTATTGATAAGTGTGAGGTTTCTGCCTTACCTTTACTTGGTGCGAGATTCACTTGGTGTAATTCACTTGCTGGTGAGAAGTGGAGCAAAATAGATAGAGTGTTAGTAGACCCAAAATGGCTTGAGGTGTTCAACTTAAAGTTGTGGGGCCTGCCTAGATTGGTCTCTGATCACTGTCCTCTCCTTGTGATGGAGGATGAGAGGGACTGGGGTCCAAAGCCTTTTAGGGTTCTAAATGCTTGGTTCTTGCACAAAAACCTTAAGAGTTTCTGGGAGTCCAAATGGGAAGAGGCCAGTGTTGAGGGATGGGCTGGGTTTACTCTGGCACAGAAGCTAAAGATCTTGAAAAATGGTCTTAAAAGTTGGAATGTGGAGGTGTTTGGTAATATTATAAATAAACTGAAGTTAGTAGAGGGTGAACTTCACAGCCTTGATATTCTGGCTGAGACTAGAGACCTTGATGGTGAGGAAAAAGCTAGGAGAAGTGAAAATAGAGCTGAAATGTGGAGATTGAGTAGGATGGTGGAGTGGTTATGGCTGCAAAAGTCTAGGCTTAACTGGGCCATGAAAGGGGACAAAAATACAAGATTTTTCCATGTAGTAACAAAGTGTAGAACAGTAAGAAACGAGATAAATTCTATTACAGAAAGGGATGTGGTGTTTGAAGATCCAAGCCAAGCGAAGAGGAAAGTGCTTGAATTTTTTAAGAATCAATATGCAGAATCCTGGCCATCAAGACCAGTGTTGGGGGTCAGTTCCCATCAGTAGAAGGCAAACAAGGCTTTCTGATTACAGGCCTATAAGTTTGGTGGGTTCATTATACAAGATCATAGCAAAACTGTTGGCAAATAGGTTGAAATCCGTAATGCCTCATATCATTAGTGAGCCTCAGTCTGCATTCTTAAGCAGAAGGAACATTTTAGATGGAGTGCTAATAGCTAATGAGGTTGTTGAGGGTTGGAAGAAGACCAAGAAGAAGGGTGTGCTCATTAAGTTGGATTTTGAAAAAACATATGACTCCATTAATTGGGGTTTTCTGCTTGATATGTTTTCTAAATTTGGGTTTGGAGCTAAATGGATTAATTGGATGAAGGAGTGTGTTACAATTACAACGGTCTCAGTACTCGTTAATGGCTCCCCTACCGAAGAGTTTAGCCCTCAAAGGGGTCTAAGGCAAGGTGACCCCCTGTCCCTTTTTTTTTTCAATCTAGTAGCTGAAGGTCTACATATGTTGTTGAGCAGAGCTTGTGAGTTAAACCTAATCAAAGGGGTAAAAGTAGGCTGTGAGGGTGTGGAGTTAACTCATTTACAGTTTGCGGATGACTCACTTTTATTCAGTGAAGCAGAGGTGGAGGAGGTGAGGAAATTGAAAAGGGTGCTAAGGTGCTTCGAAATCATGTCTGGGTTAAAAATAAACTTTCATAAGAGTGTGGTACGTGGTGTGGGTGTTTCTACAGAGATGATGAATGAAATGGCTGCAGTCCTAAATTGAAAAATAAAATCTTTGCCACTTACTTTTTTAGGGCTACCACTAGGAGCTAATCCAAGGAGGAAAGCCAATTAGAAACCAGTAGTGGATAAAGTGAGAAGTAAGCTAGCTGGTTAGAAGAGGAAGATACTGTCTTTTGCGGGGAGGTTAATTCTTGTTAAAACAGTAACTTCAGCTTTGCCAGTGTTTTATTTGTCATTGTTTATGATGCCTGAAGGGGTTGCTAAAGAGCTGGAGAAGATTCAAGCTAATTTCTTATGGGGTGGTTTTGAATTGAAAAGGAAAATTCATATGATCAAATGGGAGGACATGTCAAAAAGAATGGATCAAAGTGGTCTGGGAATTAGAAATTTTAGGGATGCAAACAAGTGCTTACTAATAAAGTGGTGGTGGAGGTTGGTAATGAAAAAGATGCTTTGTGGAGAAGGGTCATTTGTAGTAGATATAAGTTGGAGGTGGCTAGTTGGATTCCATCTCTAATTCCTTCCAATAGTTACTCACCAGTTTGGAATGGAATTATCTCGGTTACTGAGCAGTGCAATAGTTTAAAGGAGTTTTATTTGCATAACTTCCAATTGAAAGTAGGGGATAGGAAAAGGATCAGGTTTTGGTCAGATGTTTAGTGTCAATTTGTGTGTTTGAAAGATGAATTCCCAACTTTGTATAGGTTATCTTTGGAAAAAAAGGAGTCCTTGAGAGTCTTGGTTAATAAGAAAACCATAGTAGGTGATTGGTCCTTTGCTTTTAGAAGAGAACTTTATGAATGTGAGGTGCTGGAATTGGTTAGGCTTAATAATATCCTGGTGGCAGCACCTGCTGTATGTGTAGAGTGTACAGATCAACCTGTTTGGTCAGCTTCATCTCATGGGGTCCTAAAAGTAGCAGATTTGCACAAGTTTGTTATAGATAATGCTGGTGCCACCCTGAATATAACTAAATTGATTTGGCTCAAATATGTCCCTCCCAAGGTGTAGGTGCTTGGTTGGTTTGCTTGGAAAGGGAGAATCAAGACAAAGGAGTTTCTACATAAATTGGGTGTGATCAGCCCTAATGACCCTATAACCTGTGTGTTTTGTAACAGTGGAAGTGAATCAGTGAACCATGTCTTGATTTGGTGTCCCTTTGTGTGGAAGATCTGGGCTAGAATGCTAAAGTGGTGGGATATTCAAACTGCTTTGCCATGGTCTGTGGAGAGTCTTCTCCTGTGGTGGGCAAAGGGAAAGCTAAAGAAGAAAGAAATGATGATTTGGGGGGCAATTCCATTGGCAGTGATGTGGTCAGTCTGGAGATACAGGAATGATTGTGTTTTCAGAGCAACCTTTCCAAATTTAGAGGATCTCTGTGACTTAATTAAGTATAGTATTGCTTTTTAGGTAAACCACACCTCAAAGATTTTTATTTTTCTGAGCAGGATTTTATTTCTAATCTGAGGCAAATTATGAGGTGCTTGGGAGGGTCTGTTGCTGATATGTAGTGGTAGTTAGTAGGTGTTGAACTGCTGAGGTCTGCTGCTACTCTTGGGTCTGTTGTGGATTTGTAGTGGTAGCTTGGGTGAATATCTTTATCCTGTGTGTATCTCAACTGCTAGTCTAGCCTGGTCTACCCAGTTTTGGCACTGAGGTATGATGGTGAAATCTGATCCGGTGGTGTTGGTGGCTTAGCTTTGTGTACAAGTGCTGTGTAGGCAGAGGTGTAGTCATTTGGATGCAGGGGAGCTGTGACAAGTGCTGTATAGTCTGGGTTCTTGGTGACTTCATTCAGTAAGGACTGCAATTGGTCTTGGTGGTGTGCTGCTAAGTAGCTATGCTATGCTGGTTTGGTTGTATGGGTTGGTCTGTGTGCTGTTTTGCTGGCTGGAGTTGCCTCAGCTATTCTTTCTGCTCTGCATCTGTGTGGTGAAGTTCTAGAATGCTGCTCCAATTTCTACTGTTGGTTTAGCTTGGTTCTACTTAGTTTTGGTGCTGCGGTATGGTGGTGGATCTGATTTGATGGTACTGGTGGTTCTTGGAGTCTTCATTCAGTAGTTAAGAGTCTTCATTCTACTGCTGATTTGGGAAATCAATTATGAAGTGTGGAAATTGATCCAAGCTCCCCTATCTGTTGTTGATTTTGCATCTGTTTGTCTATCTGTTTGCTGCTGGTTGTCTATCTGTCAGTTAGGTGTTGCTCTTGCTTTATTTTGTGTCGTTGGTTCCTCACCAACTTAGAGGTTGGAGCTCTTTCTAGCTCCAAGCTCCTCTTTATTGATGTTTTGCCTATCATATGTAATTTATATGTGGTTCATTAATAAAGATTTCTTTTGCCGATCAAAAAAAAATAAAAAAATAAAATACAGCACTTGACACTGTTCCACGGAAATTTGTAGAACATAATTTGCAATCTTATGAATTTGATTTCAAACTTTCACTAAGTTTCAGAGAGTATAATTCTACTATTGAATTAAACCTAGTGCATAATATTAATTTTTTAGACCTCACATGCTCTGGTATTAGAATTTTAGAATTCGTAATTTGATTTGCGATTTATGCTTAGATCGATACAAATTTATAGATGAATCTATTTTTTTGAATAGAATCTATGGTGAATCACACAATTCACGATCGATTCATGATTCGATTCACTTTTTTACAATTCATGCTATTCTGGAAACTACTTCTATGAAGCATGAGTACTTTGAAAAATATGTCGTACTCGTACCGGGTACTTACCTGCGTATAATATTTCGTATGGTACTTTTGCATATGTACCGGTTGCATGAAACATGTACTCAAATTTTTCTTCTTAATTTTTTGGCATATCCAAACATACCTAATATATGTTTAAGCCGTACCGTACCTCAGTCAAATCAATATTTTTTTCTACTGCAGAGATAAAATTTCTTTGACTAGACTTTTTTTATGTTTTTAAAATTAAGTTATGGTTTGTAAGCTATTTAATATAATAATATTTAATTTTATTTTATACCTTTAGTTTTTGCATTAAATGTTAATTGTAGGTTGGATCGTAACAAATTAAAACATTTAATCAATTTTTGCATTACTCCAAATTTAAAATAATTTTTTTTTTACAAACGTACTAAGCCATACCCGTACCTTACTTTTTAAAGATTTTTTACCATACCAACGTACTCACATTGTACTGGTACTAGTACTCGTACCCATACATGTGCTTCGTAGAACTACTTGTTTGACATATTTCAACCATTTTTACCTCTTTTTTTAAGTGATGAAAATGATGTAATATAATTTCTAAGAGTGTTTAGTATGAAAATAACTAATAGATTTGTTGTTATTTTGATGATTAGAGGATGTTTAATAAGGTCCGGTTAGACCCAACATGCTCTTCACATTTTTTTCCTCAAAAAATGTCATAATACATCTTATAGGATGTTTTAGGTTAAATAACTTGCACCTATGAATTATGTATTGTAATTTTTAGTAAAATAAATATGATTCAATATTAGGTAAGTCAGATCCAATGGTTCTACAATTGTTTTTCGTTTCTAACTTTTTTGAACAATAGGCATACACACTTTTTAAAGTGTTTTTAGTTTTTTTAAAAAGAGATTCTGCTTATTCCTTTCTTCTTATTTTTAAGTCTATGTTTTGAATGCGTCAAGAGAGATCATATAATAGTTTTTGACAATTTTATAATTGCTAAGATTTGGACCTGCTTCTCTTGCTATGAAGTTAATGTCTTCCTATTTAGACAGTGTAATCATGTCCTTGTATAAAAACTATTTTATAACATGAATGAATTTATTTCTTTTGTTTTTCGTTTTTGATAGTTTGTACTAAATCTTAACGATTCACGATACGATTCTCAATTTAACAACTATGCTCACATGTATGAACTGTTCCCAAAGTATTTCCTCTAATTATTAACTCTATGCTACTTTCTCTGGTTTCCTTGGATTGCAGCCAATTGAAGGGTCTAGATTTAGCAGGAATTCTATCAGAAGAATTTGCAAATCTTTGTAATCTGCAAGAAATGTAAGTGACATTTCAGTGACATTCAGAACTCAATTGGCGTAACTATGAGTTTGAATCATTGGTTCACTGTAGGAGTGGTTATCGGCCTGCTAGCCTACCCAACCCGCCCAATTTAGCCCAATATTTTTACGGTTTGAAAAAATTGTTTTGCCTATAGGGTTGGGTTGGGCTAAAATTTTGTGGCCATTTAATATTCAGGTTGGGCTTGGGATAAAGAGTTTTTTTATCCCAACCCAGCCTGGCCCTCCCAATTATAATTTAATGTATAAAGAGAAATGATTGTATTA